CCCCGCACCAAAACTTGTACTCTATATATACCAACTGTACCCCTTCCAATTTCATTCAAATCACCTGATGAATATAGCCACTTTAATTATATCAAATGTACCCCTTTCATTCATCATAAGATATTTCTGTTAAGTTCATAAACATCATCACTGCCTTTCTTCCCTTGCATTAGTGTATATTTAAGCCATGAAAAAAACCACTTTCCACCGTTCCCTATCCTGGGCTAGCCTCTTGATGTTATTTCACGTCTTCCCACCTTTCTGTAAATCTTTCTCTGTGACAGTTCTCCAGGTTCCACATGGCCTTCCCTTTGATCTCTTACCCTGTGGATTCAAATCCAGCGCTTTCTCCATTATGCAGCTGCTTGGCTTCCAGAAAGTATGCCCAATCCATTGTATATTACCGCCTCCTTTCATCTCTGACTGGGCTTATTCTCCTCAAGACTTTCTCACTGGAGATCCTGTCTGCCAATTGGATCTATTCAAATCTTTTGTTGAATATTGACCTTATTATTACATCAAGAGTACCGATTTCACTAACTGATTATTTTTCTCAAATTGCCTGACAAATATCAGCATAATGACACTTCTACATTAAATGTACCCCTTTCACTCCACACAGGTCCTTCCAGTTCAAACATCCTGATGAATATTGCCTGTATTATTACATGAAATGTACCTCTTTAATAAAGATCACTTCTACAACAATTGTACTCCTTTCCCTCATCATCAGTTACTTCGGTCAAACCATTTGACAAATATCAACACAATAAGTTCTATATCAAATGTACCTTTCTCATTCAACATAAGTTCTTCCAGACGGTACCCTTTTCAATCATAGGTTACATCGGTCAGATCATTTGACAAATTGTATCAACGCTAGTTTTACATCAGACGTTCCTCTTTCATTCAACAAAAGTTTATTTCAGACTCCATTATTTGCGTCGGTCTCTGCGGCTGGTGGGCCGGTTGTTATTGAGGAGATTCTTGTTGTTGTTGGTGGTCTTTGGATCATGGCAGTGGCTGTAAGAGAGGTCAAAGGAAAGACATAAATATCACAATATCACAATGTTTGGTTTTAGTACGTGTTTTACAGCACTTGCAACACAATTTACGTCACGTCATGAGTGCGTTTTGTTTTGTTTCAGTAAGTGTTTTAAGACAGATGCAGGACAATTAAGTCAAACGAGTGCTTTTTTTGTTTTATTGTAAGTGTTTTACGGCAGATGCAACACAAATAGGTTATACAAGTGCTAAAGTTTAGAGGTGTTACAAGACAGTAACAAACACAAAATAGTCGGAGAGATAAGGATGCTTGATGGGAAAGAAGGAGCAAACTACACCAGTGCACCCGCCGCCAACCACCAACATATGTGTTACGACGCTGTGAAATTAGGTGCTCGTCAATTTTGAGGCATGTGTGAGTTATTGGAAAGGCCTATCATCTGAAAGTGGATTTATTTGCCTTGCTTCTAATGAAATATATATTTATTTATCTTGAATAGAAGTCAAGATATTTACATGTGAAGGAAGCGAGGTCGCCTGGATTCAGTGGTGAAATTAGAGAAAAAATAGCCACCAAAGTTTGGTAACTCCAATAGCTAAAGAGCCTTTTTAAACTGAAAAATGACATATTTTATGCCTTTAACTTTAATCAATGTTTTTCAGTAAAATCAAAATGGAAATGTGTTTTTATTGGATATAAAAGAGGTTAAGCCAAAAGATTAAAATTCAATAAAAATTTTCAAACTAGAGGGAAAATGCCTGTTTCTCCGATTTCGTTATTTTGACGAGCGCCTGATTTCACCACACAGTCTCACATAGTACATTGTGGTAAACTAAATGTATTTATTTTTAAAAAATTCATTAATTAATCTATCTATTTATTTATTTGGAAGGTGTTTTCTGTTCCCATCAACACAATTTAGATCACTTTGGAGGGAGGTTTTGACTCTACCTGTCATGCGGGTTCAGCACCAATTGAGATGTATATAACATCCTAGTTGAAAGACTGAGATACTCTGTTTAAATTTCCCACTCTGGTGTGGTTCGCTTCTTCTTTCCTATCAAACATATATCGTATACCTCCCCTCCTTCATTTTCATGTTTGTTACTCCCTTGAAACACCTCTAATCTTCGGCACTTATATGACCTTATTGTGTTGCAAGTGCCGTAAAACTCTTACTAAAACAAAATTTTTTTCCCAACCTATGAGAATTGAACTCGTGCCATTGGTTTGTAAAGGCAAAGCACCTACCTGCTACACCACAGACACTGAGTTGGTAAAGATAATGTTTGAGCACTTCATCAATACCTCAATGCCAACGTTCATTCATGCATGGAAAAAGCAAAACAGACAGACACAAGTAAAGACAAGTGGCGTCCTCTATTCAAATTTTCCTACAAACTGAAAATGTTTAATGTGTTCCGCATGCTCATATGACCTTATGCAGTTGCGAACGGCGTAAAACCCCCAAAAACAACAACCCAAAAACCAACCCCTCAAAATACTTCCTACCTACATGGATTTCCAAGTTGTACATAATAATGAAGATTATTTCTATAGCGCCCACCCCCGTGTAAACACAGCTCTAGGCGCTTTACATAAATGCATGTACGAACAATATTCATGCACGTGACACAAACACGCACACACACACACTTACACACACACACTCACGCACACATTACACACACACATTACACGCACATATGTGCACACACATGTACACCAAACACACACACACACACACACACGCATACACAAACACACACACATCTACTTGCTTATCACACGCGCACGCTTACACATCATCACGAAATGAGCAAATACAATGCAATTCACAAAATACATAAATGGATACATAGTCATTACATAACATTGTACTGAACATGAATCTACTGACATAAAAATGATGTCATTAAATGTGTCTTTAAAGATTATTCAAATTTAGACTCAGATGTTGTATGTCTCATTAGGCCTAAATAACACACTGTCAGTACCTGGGCGATCCCAACCACTCATCAAAATTACCAAATCACCCACAAGTGGCCTACATTGTAATATTGCCCATGTTGCAAGCATTGCAGTAACCACCACTAACCATCCACAATGAAAAGAGGAATGTAGGGCACATCTAGTTGTTCAAGTTACAGCGACTGCTGGGGTCGTATGAGAAAATAATAATAAGGCAATTACAGTGATCCTATTATGTGCAACCTGCAATCTCCTGCACTGGTGAGGTAACTCATCAATTGGAGGGAATTACAAAGGCTGAGTGAACACCCACACTAAACCACCCCATCCACACACCCACACATTGACATGTGCAGAAACGCATACATATTTACCTCACATATCCCTTCCATTGAGTCCTGCTCTTGCTCTCTATCTCTCTCTCTCTCTCTCACACACACACACACACACACACACACACGCACATACGCCAACAAACAAACACAAACATACACAGGGGGCTCTCGTGGTCTAGAAGATAAGGTGTTCGTCTCTCATTCAAAGGTCCCGGGCTCGAATCGGGGTAGAGGCCGCAAAAACTTTTCTTCTCTAAAATCGTTTCCATTCACTTCCTTTCCTGCTCTCTAGCAATGTTCTGTCTTCTGCTTTCGTCTCCACTTTCAGCCCCCACCCCCTCATGCACCTCCTTTGCCCCCTCCTCTGGGCTCCTGACTTTCTGCAGCCTTTCTACTGCTACTCCTTGGCTCCTTCTTGCTGCTGCCTTTCAACCTCACTCCTGATTTAATGGTAGGAAAGATCTATATTTAGCCTTCTTGGACACGGGCAAGAAATCTCGGAGGTCTCGTGAGCAAGTTGCTCACGTCAAAGATCTCTTGGTGGTCTAAAATCGATAAGAGTAGGCTTTGGCAGCCACCCGGGCAAAATTCAAAATTTCCTATCAACTGAAAATGTTTAATGTGTCCCGCGCGCTCATATCTGTCTGACCTTATGCAGTTGCGAGCATTGTAAAACACTTACCAAAAAAAAAGCAAACAATCCCCCCCCCAAAAAAACAAAACAAAACAACAACCAACAACCACATGAACACATAGTGTCATTATCTAGTCAAATCTACATCATTGACCACCATTGACCACCTGCTCTATCTCTCTCTCTTGCGCCCCCCGTCTCTCTCTCTCTTTTATACGCACACGCACACAAACACACACAGCCACATGAACACACAGTGGCATCACCTCGTCAAGTCTTCAATGTCAACCAACATCGAGTCCTGCTCCATGTGAAGATCATCGCGCTCTATAAGTAGGTGCACCAGGTCCTCGTTCAACACTGTCAAAAGAAAAATATTCATAGATATAAATCTACCTTTCTCGATACCTGAGGGGCACTGTATTTTACAATGACTTACGTCTATAGAATTGCAATAATAAATTTTAATATTTTATTGCTCATCAACACAAATACGGTAATTTTGGAGGTGGGATCCATCCCCGACA